TGTGGGAGGAGCAGGGCGGTGTCGGTGGGGATTCACCTCCTGCCCGCCCGCAGGGCTGCCAGGCTGCTGCTGCTGGAGCCTGCGGGAGCCGAGCGGCAAAACAAACCCCGCGTTACGCACAGGAGGATCAGAAACATCAGCTATTACCACGTGCCGGTATTATTTGCTAATGACATAGCAAAGGGGTTTTATAGACACAGATCCTCCAGCCCCTAGAACTGATGCTATTGTTCTCGGTCCGCTTCCTAGCACCTAGGGCTGCACTTTTTGTTCTGTCTTTTACGCCAAAGCACCTCTAGGAAAGCCGGTCTGTAAGGACAACGCCACACCAGCACCTGCACAAAAGCACCGAAGCTGATGGGGAAGAAACAACCGGGAAAAAAGGAACAATTGAGCTACATTATCAGATTGGCTGAAGATGGGATCTAAAAATAACAGTAATGAAATGGATTTAGATACTTCTACTAAAATGACTCAGACTCACCACTCCCAAGTCTATATTGCATTAATATTCTAGGAGTCCTGCAAAGGTGTAAAGGCCATTACTACAACAGAGACCTTCTAAAATGCTTCCTCTTGCAAAAATTGAGGAATTTTTTTTTTTTTTCCCCCTTAGCTTTTAGAAGTCTGGGTACTACACTTGTCTTAAGAAGTCACAGGAACATCCATCAGAACAACAGGCATTTTATTTCTCTAATACTTATAAAGGTAAATGAGGTTTCTTTGGAGATGCGATCCAGTTTTCAAGATAGACATTTTCTGCACTCCTGATCCTCCCTCCAGAGCAGAACATCACCACCCCCCAGAATGGAGTTGTGTGGTGACAAAGATCTGTCAAATGCATCACCAAATATCAGGGTGCAGGCGTTACCTTTACAATCATAAAGCATTAAGACCCAGTGAGCACAACAGAAGACCTGGCTTGCTTGAAGAATGATGTCATATCCCTGAAGCAGCAGTAAAGATCACAGTCCCTGAATCTTGGTGCTTCCTCTTGTGCCAGACCAAGGGAAAACTTCCAAGTGTGCAACAGCAGTCAGGATTTATTAGTATCAATTTCAAGGATGTCTGTTACAAAAAATGGGCCAGCTGCTTATTAAATAATATTTATTATTATATATTTTGCCTTTCCTCCCCGACTATGAATTGTTGATGTCTAATTCATCAGTAACAGACCACAGGTGGCCTTTCAAGAGTTTATATTTGCCTTTTATACCTCACACCCAACATCCTATGATCTTGAAGTAGGTATCTATCACGACAGTGCCTGCTTTTAAATCACCTGGAGAAAGGTAAACTCTCAGGTTGAGCTATCTCAACCTCAGGAAAAGCTGGAGGTTCACCACATTTATTAAAACTACCAAGTTACATTCAGTGCAATGTACAGTGCACCATTTTGCACTGGAGCTGTGACAACTGCTAGCTACTCTACAGCGTCCCTTGCATTTTGAAACTTGCCTTTAAACAAACCATTTTGACAAGCTTGTCTTTGCCCTGGTTTTGCTTTTACCTGACAACCACATTTCTGCCTAGAGCCAGCTGTAGCTGTAGTCTTCTCCTTTCCCCTGCCAGCAGGAGACACAACATCCTTGTTTCAGTAACCTTAATCATAACTCTCCTGGAAAGTCTGCAATTTTGCTCTCTTCATACACTAACTCCCACTTACATAAGGTACCAGTTTGTGTTCTGTTTTCTCTGCACTGTGAAGGTTCCAGAATAAGCACTGTATGATTTAAGAAAAAGCTCAACAATATAAAGATGAAGTTAAACCTAAGGATAGTGCAACTGTAATTCTTTTGGCTCATGATCAACTCAAATTAAACTGCCTTACTATGATGTGCAATATTTAGTGATTGTTTTATTAATGCAGAAATACCTGCTGAA